GGGTGTGTGTTCACGGTGTGTGTGTGTGTTCACTGCTGTGTGTGTGCACTTTGGATGGGTTAAATGCAGCATACTTGGCCACATGTCACGTCACTTTCACTTTCAAAGACCGGCTGCCGCCTGACAAAAGCAATGCATTCTGGTTAGAAAATTTGTCCGACTTTGATCGGCGCTGAAGCCGCCTTACGATCACATGTGCCATCAAAATTGGCTGCAAAAGCGTTGATGACGACACACTTGGAAGAAAACATTCTGGTTAACCTATTGCTTATATTTGGAAAATGAAGTCTCATCCCAAGATGGCCGTAGTTCCAGAGTCTTTTCCCAAGATGGCCGCCAGCCCAGAGTCTCTTCCCAAGATAGCCGCCACGCCAGAGAGTCCATTTGTTATGGATGTCAATCCACAGTCTCAGATGCCACTTCAGTGTTCCCAGTCATTGTGAACGTTGCATTTGAAGACACCCAGCCATTCCAAATGTGTTTGAGGCTGGTTTCCAGTTTGGCGGACCCACCGCTGGTTTCAGTCAGAGAAGCAGGCATCCCAAGTGCCTCAGCTCTGGTCGTCACAGAGACTGGACCCCTATCCTCAGTGCTCCCTGTAAAGGCAGTCGCCATTCTGTGTTTTTGGGCTACACACTGCTCTTCTACTCCTCCAGAGTCCACTCCAGCCCATGGTTCAGCTCCAGAATCCGCTCCAGTCTATGAGTCTGATCCAGAGTCCACTCTAGTCCATGACTCCGCTCCAGTCTATGAGTCTGGTCTAGAGCCTGTTCCAGTCTACGATTTCACTCTAGAATCCACTCCAGTCCTTCAGAGCTCACTCCAGTCCATGAGTTCTCTCCAGAGCCTGTTCCAGTCTATGAGTCTGATCCTGCGCCCACTCCAGCTCCAGAGGTGGCAGCTTCCACTGCAAAACCTCCCGAGTCAGTGGCGTCCAATTTTGCTCCTCTCATGGCAGTGGTGCCCACTTCTGAACTCTCTGTATGTCCTGCAACGACCACAGAGGTCACCCATGAACTCTCTGCCTGTCCTGTTACGGCCAAGGAGGCCATCTGTGAACTCTCTGCTTGCCCTGTCACGGCCGCAGAGGCTGTATTAACCTCTCTTACCCCTTTTCCACCAAGGCAGTTTGAGTGCTGGTTCGGAACCAGAGCCAAGTTTCAAATCGGTTCTTTGTCTTTCGACACCCAAAGCACCAGCTCCGAACCAGAAAAAGTGGTTCGTAAGTACCACCAAAACATTGCTGGTCTAGAACCACTTGCGTCAGGGGCTGGAGGCGGGGTTACCGTGACAAACAGAAACTTTTGACCGCCATTTTTGAAATAGCAGCTAAACATGAACACGTTGGATTCGCCGTGTTTGGATGCCGATGTAGGTTCGCAAAGCCATGAATATCAGGGCTCGCCAGTCGAACCAACTCCGAACCGGCAATAGCACTGGCTCTAAACTAGCACCCGGTTCATGCTGGTGGAAAAGGGGTATCTGTGCTCTCTGTTCCAGTTATGCCTGATCCGCCTTGGTCTCCTGCATCATCAGCTTCACCCTGGTGGTCGTCTGCTTCACCGTGGGGATCTTCGGACCTGTCTGCTCTGCTGAGGTGGTCTTCAACTCTGCCCTGGCTCCCTGCTCTGTCAGCTCCGCCCTGGCCTAGGAACTAATCTCAGACTCTTCCCGTTTCTTATCAGGAGAATTATTTAAGTCTGACACTTTCAAGCACACTTTGCTGAGTATTGAAGTATTCCTAGCCTTCCTAGTTTCCATGTTTTTCCTTGTTTCATTGCCTGCATTTTGATTCTTGGACTGTTTACCTAGTTTCTTGATGCCTGCCCTGACCGTTGCCTGTTTTGTGGATTACTATTTTGTCTTTCCTCTGTTTTGGTTTATTTTAAGAAGTTTATATTTAAAATCAATATGTAAATATGTAAAAAAAAAAAAAAAAAGACATAAAATCAAAATGAACTTGGAAAAAATAAAACTGGAAACAGCATAAACAAAACCCAACAACAGATCATTTTAATTTAATGTAATTTAACAGCTCAATGAGACTACAAGGGGATTAGATAATTTATTTGGATAGAGAGGAATCTAGATCTTAAAGCAAAAACGTAACCGTTTGTTAGCCTCTCAGTTAAGGAAAAAAATGGTTTAAGCATTGTGCAGAAACTTAAGACCAACTCTGCTGATAAACTTTTTTTTGTAAGCCTACAGCAATTTTGGAGGCCTTTGCTGCTTTTTATAAAAAACCTTTACGGACTCTTACGCAGTCTTATTGCGCCTTTTAAGCCCGGGGCTATGGGGTACGAGGAGATTGTGAATATATTACAAGCACATTTTACCCCCAAGCCCATTGTAATCGTGGAGAGATTACGATTTCACAAACGGAATCAAGCGGAGGGTGAAAGTGTCCACGATTTGTTCCCTTCAAAAACAAAAGTAATCCACTGCATCTTCAGCGGCTCAGATGTCGGGAATAAATGACGACTGCTATGTTCATTATTACATCCAACAACAGAACACCTCAATCGCTTAGGAGTCATTCTTGTCTACATCTGCTCCGGCGGTGAAACAATGGCAGACTGTTCACAGCTCACTCAGGGCGGGCATATGGTTAAACGCCAGTGTCAATCAACAATCGTGGGAGGGGCCTGCGCAGAACTACGTCACTCTGCCAAGAATCTCAGAACAGCCTGATTTGAGAAAGTGATCATTATTATTGGGGACTTAAAAAAAAAAGGCACTGGGTGGATTTTTATCATTATAGGTTGGATGTGTACACACTGCAAACACACATTTATGTTCAAACAACATGTAAAAGTGAATTTTGCATCCGATGACCCCTTTAAATTCTGTGAAGACACTATGGCTGAAACTAAAACGGAATCTTTTCCCAAATAACATGCCTTGGATATCAAAACAGCTGTAAAGCTGTCTCAATGAAAGTATGTTTGCTTTCTGCACTGGTAGTATGGAATTACTGTGTGAGAAAAGGAGACAGTTAAAGGGGAAATTCTCAAGGCAAAATTTGATTTTAAAAATAAAATAGAGGGCAGTTTTTCAACTGGTAATATAACACAGGCATATGAGGGATTAAATACATTAATGGGCAAATTAAAAAAAAGTGATAATTCTGTAAATAGCAGTCAAACTTTTATTAATAATTGTTTTATAAATTAATGTTTTCTGCAGATTTGATACTGTGGATCTTACATAGTTCTTTGCGGGTTGTAATCTAAAGCGTTACCGAAACACCTATAGGTATTAATGAGGAAGACTTTCTAAATTGAAGCCGAACAAGATCACTGTCCCAGATGATCTAAACGTCTGTCTTCTTGAAGACTGTGCTCCTCGGCTAAAAGGAGTTTCTGCAAAGCTGTTTCAGTTTTCATGTACAGTGCCGAGATTATATTAATTCTCAATATTCAGGCCTGTGAGGTGGGGAACAGGCAGACGTATGTGAATGATTTTTGGCATTTCGCAATAACCTTGATAGTGTGTAAAACCATGGAGTCATCTGTGTTTGTTTGATTAGGGAGACACACAAAATGTGCAGTGCTGGGGGGCGCCCAGGGCCAGGGTTGAGAAACACTGCTTTAGGCAAAGATAAAAATGTATTTAGGATGTCCTTCATCCCAAATTTTTAACTATGCAGGTGTCAAAATTCATGCAGACATTCACGTTGATTTTTATTTATTTTTTTAAACCTTGTGTGTATAGACTGTTTCCACATTTCCAGGGCTCTCGGAAGTGAAAGTCATCATAGTTGTCTAAACCTCTAGTAATGAATAGAAACTGCAACAAATATATTTTTGTGTTCTCATTTCACCCAATAGCAAAAAAATAAAAAAATAAAAATTAAAAATTAAAGTGACTTTCAGTGAAGTTTCAATGACTTTCCAAAAGAGGGGAATGAATGCAAGAATAAATTAATAGCTAAATAAATGATATTAGCATCGTAAATCAATATATATATATATATATTGATTTACGATGCTAATTGTGGAAATGCGTTATCATACGCATATAATAGACCTTATTGTGTAAACGGGACCTTTATTTTCGTCTGGTGTTGTGACGTCATAAAGCTGCGCCGCGGTCCTGCATCTGTTGTGATTCGGCTGAAGAAAGGTTTGTGGTTTTTACGTTTTTAAATCAGTTCAAACTGTTTTAACATTTACACCGTTTTACAAGCTACGTAAAATAAACGAATCAATCTTAAATATAATGTTGTAGTTTACTTTGTGTTATTTTTGTGAGTAAAGCGCATCCTCATATTAATAACAGAAAAGGTGCGTCTCATTTCGCTCCCGATATCGTGAATAAGTACATCGTTCAAGTACGAGAAAGAAGTGATGAGAGAAACTGAGAATCCGAATCATCTGAACAGAATCATTCGTAAAATGATTCAGTGATTCGAATAAGCGCGCGCTGACGATAAACGGGAACAAACACGTTGTTGTGTCGAAGTCCTAAAACTGTCATTTCTGCAAGTTCAATCAGATCAATATCCCAATACAACTCAAATTTGATCATCATTTAAGTGATTGTTTTATATAAAAACAATAATTATGCAAGCTAATAATGATGTAGAGTAATTTTGCAGTAAATAGGTAAAGTACCACATAACCCCAAAAGCACAGCATAAAATATGTATATATTATTGTATTATATATTACAATTGCTCTGTGTGTGTGTGTATGTATATATATTTATATATATATTTATGTATGTGTGTGTGTGTATAAATCATGCCAATAAACTATTTTAAACTGAGATTGAGAAGCACACGACAACAAAAATATAGCCTACTTGTTATAGGTAGAATTACGTTTTACATTTATTTGAATTCATATGTCATACATGTACAACGCAGTCAGCAAAGCCTTCCAAATCTTAAAATCGATTCTGTGATCAATACCTAAATATATAGTAAATATTATAAGATGATAAAAAAATAAGCGGAAACAGTGTGCGGGGCTGTTTGCGTAGCGGGAACGCTAAACTAAGGGGAAACATAGGAGGAACAGACTTCAACACAACATCGGTAACACTTTACAATACGGGTGCACAAATATGCATTAGGTCTAATTCACGCTTAAAGGTGCAATAGGTGATTGTCTTCAGAAACATTTTTTGTTATGCTGGTTAAAAGTCACTTCACATCCCGATAGCAATCATTAGGTTAAGTGGTCTAAATGTATTTATATATTCTGTGGAAGGCGTAGGACCAAGAAATGTTCGTCCAATCAAAACGCTCGGAACGACTTGACTTTCCTACCTGCCTGTCAAATACTCAATTCAATTCAAGTTTATTTGTACAGCGCTTTTCACGATACAAATCATTGCAAAGCAACTTTACAGCAAATTAATTTCTACAATATTGCGCACCCGGTTCTCGCAGACGGGATACGTCATCAGCGCGTTCACGTACACTGTGCAGACATAGCGAGAATAGCACTGCATGGTTACTGCATGATGATTGAAATCGCGCAAATGGCCTTAAGCTATTACCTAAATAAACTGCGAAAAGATTTGTTTTCTAAAACATCATGGACAGAATGGTCCTGAGAGCGCTGCACGAGCTTGCAGCGCCATCTGCAGGACAGTTCAAAGCGTTCAAATGATTCAAAGCACCAAACGCGAGTAGAATCAGCGCTGAAACGTGTTAAGGCCTAAGTATACTTCGTATTTGTACGCGTGCGCTAGCGTATGCATACAGTCGAACTCGTAACCTTAAAGTATACGCGGGTGGTCGACACATGCGCTCTAGAAAGCTTCATCCATGTTCAGTGTCTGCTCTATTTTTAACCATTAAGTCATGACTGATAATAAATATTTTTTAACTCTTTTAAACCAAAGCTGAGCTGTCTCATAACCTCTCACTCACAAGCGCTTGTCAATGTGAGCGTCTGTTGTTGCAGTCGCCGCTATTTTGTTGTCGTTGTCCATCTCTTTAGTTTCATTTTCTACTGTTAAACAGTGGCCCGGGACAGTGTTGCCACCATGTGGAAAAACTGATTACTGCAAAATAACTTTGGTGCGCATGTGCGACCTGAGCGTACAAGGTACGCACGGTTACAAAAATCAGGTGGTGCGCGTACTGTTCTGATGACGCAATTTGCGTCGCGCACTACGCTGTTCCTCGCGTACGCGTAAAAAGTGAAGTATACTTTGGGCTTTACGCGACCCGGTGCCTTTTTATGAATGGCGGTGAGAATTTGAGATTGCTAGTGCTGTCATAAAATTTGCAACGGTTGTGATGTAATTATATAATAGGCTGTCTGACGCGCTACATGTCTGCTGTTTGTTACAGTACTGTGTTTAGTTTCGATTCACTGTTCGTGCTAGCTGCGCTTAGTTTAAGTCTGCATTTGGGAATGCAACATTCGTCATTAGAAACGTTTATAAATCTGTTGTTGTTTACAAAGAGACGCTTCAGTGTCACATGATCCTTCAGAAATCATTCTAATATGCTGATTTGCTGCTCAAGAAACATTTCTCATTATTATCAATGTTAAAAAACATTTTTGCTGCTTAATATTTTTGTGGAAACAATGAT